AAAATGTTTGCAAATGGTTTTAATTCCCGGGATCCATGTGAGTAGAGAATGCAACACTGTTCCTTACAGCCAAGGCAGAGGTCCTCTCTTGTCGGGCAGTGTTTGATCATTATGGGCTAAGAGGTTAAGTGTAAGACCATTGAGGGTAATACCTGATGGGCTAATCTTGCATCTGCCCATAGTCCCTGGGTTTTATAAGGTGGCTTGGCCCAGGGACCACTTAGTGTAAGTATTGGGCCCACTAGGAGTCCATGTGATGGGCTTCAAGGGGTTTATTGTCTTTTCAGTAAATTCGGCCAGGCCTTGTAACAGAGGCTGGGCCGAACCCATGTGGCTGATGTGTAGATCAATGTTTGGGTCACACGCCATACAAAGAAGCCCAATTGGGCAGCAGTTTGGAAGCATACTGAGCACTTAGACTTCATGAGCCTAAAGCCCATTTCGAACTAGGCTGATATGATCAGTTAAATAAGGGTGGATCTGGGATTAAATTAGCAGATATGATAGGGTCTTATCCCTATCCACTCAGAGAGTTCAGATCCAAATATGGATTTGAATCTGGAAACCTCTTAATGAGATTAGGAGAGGGCTGATCTAATCTGCGGATAAGATAAGGGTTTATCCTTATCACTTAAAGAGAGACCAAATTCAAACAAGAATTTGAATAAGGAAACTCCTAATGGGATTAGGAGTTGATCTCTTTAAGCCTATAAAAGCAGGAGGGGGCGAACCATTCAAGACACTCCAGCCTTCCAGAAATACAAGATCTCAGAACACAGAAGTCGAATACAATGTGACTGCGCCTTTTCCCTGCGTTCTCCTCTTGTCGCCGCCATATTGCCAGTTCACTCTCCAGTTTTGTAGGAGTGATCAAGATCAGTTCTTGATATCAGCCTTTGGAGAAAGGCTAATTTGAAGGGTTCGGTTCTTGGGAAGAACACTGCTGATTCTGCTCCACCCTATGCTGTGTCATCTTCAATGGGAGCAGTCTTTGGAGATTTTCTTTGGGCATGAACACCTTCATTGGGARATACTATTTCTTCGTATCAGGTATATCGCTATCCTACATTTTGGTTCAGATCTGGTTCGATTTTGGTTCAAGATTGATCCTTGAAAAATATAATTTTTCTAAAACAGGGAATGTGATTCCCACATGGGAGAGAGAAAATTTTTTGAAATTTTGCCCTACCTTCTTTTAGGGTTCGGCCATCCATATGATGGATCTCTCATCCCTTCACTTATTATCTGTTTGCTATATATAATTTCCTAAGTTTGAATCTATTCTTCTTTGGAAACTTAGCTTGATTGTAGTTGCAACCATATTCTAAAACATTTTCCAACAAAATATATCTTGTACAAGTATTATTAAAATTCATAGGGAGATGTTCCCAATGTACAATTGGATGCCCTTGATTTTAGAGTATGTGTGGAGTTTTTGCTTGCATGAGATCCTATTGCATTTCTTAATTTGTGTGTGTCATCCTTGCGCAAGGGCCATGCTAATCTTCTCTTATAGTTCCAATTTTATCGGAGAGGGCACTTTTGTTAACAATCATACAATGACACATATCTTTATGCCATAATTTTCTCATAATGATTATTGCCTACTTAATAACAAAGACAAAAGCTTTGAAATCATCACCATCATCCAAGCCTTATCTCAACCATATGGGGTCGGTTACCTACATGAATCTTGTTTTGCCATTCCATTCAATCCTGACATATCCCTACCCATTTTACACTTAGGCCCCATTCATTTTGTGGATTCTACAGGGGAGGGAGTTGGCCAATGGGATTGTAGATCCCATTTACCACTTTTTCCGTGCTCATTTTTTATAGTAGAAAAATCACTTTCCCTAATACTTCTCTCCCGAATTGGTAAATAACTTTCCCACTTAGAAAAAATTTGGCAATTTTACCTATTCTAACAATGGCTTTTTGTGGATAAAAGAATCATTATATAATTTACCTAAGAATCAAAAGAACACAAGTAAATTTACTTGACTGAAAAAGTATTTCCTAAATAACACTTACTTGGATAAGTAAATATCTTTTTGAAAAATGAAGGAGGCCTAATGTTAAGGTATAGGGTGACATTTCTAGAAGATGTCTTGGCATGAACATAAAATGATAAATCATGTCCCATGATAATGAGAATTTGACAGAAGTTTTAATATCAATGTCAACCTAATGCAACCCCCTCTTTAGTTATTCAGGCCTTGAAATCTGATTGCTTTATTAATTACATAACAGACCCATAAAGTATGAAGACTTTGGAGAGGACAGAGGCCAGGCATCAAATGACAAATTTAGACCAGAATGAGCTCATCAGCTATAAGAACTCAGTTTCGACATCTAACAAGTTGAGATTCGACCTTTGACTTAGCATTTTAGATAAGTAACGGGGTCAGACTGTGCATTTGGGTGTCGGTTCATGCAATATTGCAATTTGAAGCTTTGAGCCCACCCTAGCAAGTAGCAAGCTTGTTTTCTATTTCTGTTATCAAGGATTCAAGTTAACCCACCATGGACCCAATCTGTTGAGACTTGGCTCGCCCAGCCCATTACCATTGGAAACACTTGGGCTATTCCTGGATACATTGAGGAATTTTAATTATCTAAAATCAAATAAATAAACTAACGTCAGAAAAGATTCTTCAACTCTACTCGACATAGTGAAAGTAGCCAGCCCATAGTGGATGAAGCGAACCCATGGTGAAGTAGGAAATCCATTTTAAATTAGTTAAATCAAGCAATTAAAGATAATGTCAGAAAGGATTCTTCAACCCTACTCAATATTTATAGTCGAATAAGCAAACTCATTTTAATTCTCTAAAATCAAATAAATAAAGGGGGATGCTTGGAAAATTTATTAAGTGGTCTACTTCCACTTGGTAATGGATAGAACAAAAGGTCAAAAGACTCCATTTGAAAGACCAATAGACCCGAAATAAAAATGCTTGAAAATCTTTTCAGCTTCCTAGAACATGTCATAAATAACAATATAGTTTATAAATTATTATCATCATATAATAATATTATTATTATAAACACGAACATTAATATTAATAATTAATAATTAATAAATAGTTACAAAATGATTAACATGCAATACTTAAAAGTAAAATAATAGTCATTAATTAGTACTTAACGATTAATTATAAAAGAAGTAAAATGCAATAAATAAAATATGTATTAAATAATTGATAAATTAAATGTAGGGTATTTAAATTAATAATTAATAAAATAATACATATTTTCACGGGTCCATGTGCCATTCTACATTTGTATAGTATTAATTAGATCCACATACATGTTTTTATGAATATGTTACTTTCAGACAAAACTTTACAAGAAACTCAGTGGGTCTCTTTATTTGCTGAGATTTTGAAAGATTCTTTTAGAAAGATGTGCCAAATGGCAAAAAAAAAGTAGGGTCAGAACCTGATTCTTCAACTCCACTCAACTCATCGGAAGAAGCAATTAAGCCCATGGTTAAGAGAATCTGTTATGGATCAGTGGTACTGATAGCTCCACTTTGCAACCTTATATAAGAAACCCTTGGAGAAAAAGCTGCATTGCACAAGTAGTAGAACTGCTATGGCTTTGTTCAATTATTTTCTTCTCCTCTTTCTCCTCTTCTTTTACAATTGCAAGGCAGATTTCTTGGGGGAGTACTGCGGCAAAAATACATTCATAAGCCCTGATAGTCTGAAATCAGCCAACATTAATCACTTATTAATTAATCTGGTGGCAAATCTCCCCTCCAATGGATTTTCTTCTACTTCATATGGAGTAGGCATCAACCCAACCTATGTCCTAGCCCAATGCAGGTGGGATGCAACCAAGCAGCACTGCTCGAGCTGCATCCAAGATGCAGCAATGCAGATCCGCCAACGCTGCCCAAATCAAGGTGAAGCATGGACATGGTTCGATTATTGTTTCTTGCGTTTTGGCATTCAGAGCTTCACAGGAAAAGCCGATGTATCTTTCGGAATAATATATTGGAATGTGCAGAACATAACAAATCCTGCTAACTTCTACCTGAAACTTGGAGCTCTAATGGATCGAGTGAGAAAACAAGCTTTGGAGAGTTCCAGTGTTGGATTGTTTGGTAATAAAGGAGTTATCAGCTTGACATCTTCTGAAACTCTATACGCCTTGGTGCAATGCACTAGAGACCTATCTAAGCTACAATGTGGTAAGTGCTTAGACATAGCCATCAGCCAATTCTCAGTGTTTTGCTTGAACCGGAAGGGCTGTCGAGTTCTATACGGAAGTTGCTTTGCCCAGTATGAGCTCTATCCCTTCTTTTTCCCTCTGAGTAATTCAACCTACTCTGCTTCATCAGCTAAGTATTTGAGGGCAGCTATCTATCCATGACTACTTGTTAAAGGATTGAATCTCCAATTGCTGGAATGCCCAGTGAGACTATGTATCTGCATGTCAATAAGTGCCCATTTGGTTTGAAGCAAGAAAATAAATTTTGTTTTCTAATTGTACTTCTGAGTTTTGATTGTAGATGGTTCCTTTTCTGTTCCTTTTTTTTTCGGAAAAGTAATGACAGTCCCATTACAGATTTCTGAATTACACTGTAGACCTATAAAAATTCAAAATGTTAAATATTCCCACTTTATACATTAATGCTTGCCCATAAGTTAACATCAATTCCAAACTGGTACCTACCTTAATTGTATTTTGGGCCTAAAAGAATCCTAACCCGGAGTTGAACCGTTATTCTCCCTTTTTTTTCTTACCTACCACAAAAACAGTAGTGAGGTTGACTTATTATGGGAGTATTTGTCATTACTCTTCAAAGGAATCAGTTTGCATTAGAGTTTTGTTTTGTATGGGAGTGCAAATGAATTAAAAGTCAAAATATAAATATAAAAATGTAAGAAGGTTTTGTATAGAACATATTTGTATTTACACTCTTGAGTAAATTGAAAAGCAAATGTTGTCATATTATCCCCATTCCCCAATTTATGTGAAAGAAAATCAGGGTGGGAGGAAGTTTATCTAGTTGATTGAGTAAAGTGGGGACTGAAATGATGTGGTCCCTACACTTTATATGGGAGAGAGCAAAGATCGAAAAGGTTGTGTAAAATTTGCATTTGTATTATTGTATCTTATTTTTTGAAATAATTTTATTTGTTAGGATGTTATGAATAGACCCTTTGACCCAATGGTATTGAACTGCTGACCTGTTCACCCACAGGGAAAAGCAGTTGACCCTCAAACCTCCTCCATGGCACCGTCGTTAATAAGCAACCTTTTGAATGTTAGATATACTTTTGATTCTCCACAACCAGTGCATGCTTTCCAAGGATTAAAATATTAATAATTAAGTTCGATACTCAAAATTATTGGTATATATCAGTCCCGTTTGAGGCATCTTTTTGGGAAGATTTTCCGATAGTTTTAAAGGTCAAAAAATGCATTAAGCTTTTTCATGAAGATCTGAATAGTCTAAGGTTAGTTTGGTAGATATTATATCTTTCTGTTTTTTCTGTGCAAGAATAAAAGGCGAAAAGCTTTATTTGGAGTTTTCCGAAATCAGTCTAAAATAGGCTTTTCGTATCTTTTCGATGTTCTAGCTTTTGACGATTAAATCTTCCACAAACTAAATGAAAATAGACCGAAAATCGATCTATCCAGCTTATAAACAGCCAAAAGACCATACAAAAAGAAATGCCAAATAGGTCCATTTTTTTTTATCTTTTTCACTTTTTCTAAATGATTAATTGGAGGATATATTTGATAATTCCAAGGTTTTAAAAACTCTTTTACATATAATGCATATTTGGGTGCACTGGCCAGTGGTATGGTATTAATTAATATTTTGATCTGATGATCGAACTAAGGGCCTGTTTTGGGAGGAGTAGTCCACCTTTGATTGAGCTGCTTAACTGCTTTTACTGAGCCGTTTTAAACTAATTTCATCTAAAAATTGATTTCTTCACCCAATGAAAGCTTGTTTGGAATATTCAGGTTTTTCACCAAAATGACCAAATATAGCTTCAAAGGCTTTCTTATGTAGGGCCCACTTTGTAAATCCAGGAGCTACGCATGCACGAAAGCTTATTTTGGCTTCCCAGATTTTTACCAAAATGATCAAACATAGCTTCAGGACGTTTTTTTTAATGTGGGGCCCACCTTGCAAAGCTCGAAGCCATTGCATACACTAAAGTCATCCATCCTAAACAAGCACTAAGATTTCTCATGTTCAGCCAGATTGGTTACATGGTTATGTTTTAACTTAACATTGATAATCAATTTACCATTTCATGAGGGGCTAAACTGAATGTTTTATTGCTTTATCTTTTAGTGTGTAATATAAATAAATATCAGAAAATTTTCGATTAATATCCTGTATTTTGGGCTTAATGTTATTTTGGTTTTCAAACTTTAAAATGTGATAATTCAGTACCTGAATTTTCAAAGCATATCAATGCAGTATCTATTGTTAACCAGCTGTTAAATACCTTTGAAAAAGATACAAATGTCCTTCAAATGTCATCTAATTTTCATTATCAATCATTCAAATATTAACAAAAAATTAAGTCCTAAATCCTTGCCTCTTTTATTCAAAAAAGTTGGGGTTCAAAATGCCCACCGAGACATAACCCTATCTTGAATAAAAGAAGCAAGGATTTGGGATTGTTAATTTTTTGTCAATGTTTGAATGGTTGATAAAGAAAATTAGATAGCACCTGAAGGGCATTTTTATTTTTTTCAAATGCTACTTAACGGCTGATTAACAACTGGTTAACGGTAGGTACTGAATTGACACGTTTTAAAAGTTTGGGTACTGGATTGTCGCATTTTAAAGTTCAGAGACCATACTAATACTAGGCCCAAAGTACAAGATACTAATATGGAATTTTCCTGATAAATATTAACACATTTTGAGGTTACAACCCAACTTCATCAACTTCAGCCATTAAGTTAATGAACACTTTAACAACTCAATCACTAAAAGACAAAAACAAAGAAATAAGTCATTCAATTCAGTTACTTAAGCTTATGAAACGGCTCTTCTTAAACCCTCCCTTCAACGCGCGGATTGCTGTTGTAGGCTAGGTAATACCTTCTTTGATAGCTTCGGTGAGGGTGCTTAATTACTCTGGTCATAAAGTCTTACAATCAAACCTAGCTTTATACAATATTTTTCTCCCCGTGATTATTGCATACGGCATACCTAATAACAGTTACAAAGACAAAAGCTTTGAATTCTTCCTGCACAATTAATCACATAACGAGGAGACAAAGTATGAAGACTTTGGATAGTCAGGACAAAAGTCAGTGAGTAATAAAAACTCCTATGAGGCACCAAATGTCAAATTTAGACAGTAATCAGCCATAAGATGATAAGAACTCGGTTTCAACATTTAAAGAGTTGAGATTTGGCCATGACTTCYATGTAATAGGGTCAGACTGTGCTGGAAGTATGGGTGTCAATTATGGAGTTGGCACACTAATTTGCAGCCTTGGCTCAACCTAGTAAGCCTGCTTTCTGTTTCTTTTATCAAGGACTCAGGCTAACCCATGGACCCAACCTGTTGAGACTTGGATTTGGGCCCGGCCCATTATTATCCTACTGGAAAACACTCAGGGCCCGTTTTGTTCACAGTTAAAATTGAATCGGAATCAGAATGAAAATCGGTCGGAATGTTCCTACAGTTTGTTTGATTCAAACAGGAATCAGAACGAGAATTGAAATAACTTGAAATGGAATTTTATTCTCAAGAGAGGGGAAGGGAATGACCATTCCCAAATGGAGGAATGCCATTCCATCTTGAATGGAAATGGGAATTCCAATTCCATCCAACCAAACAGTTGAAATTGAAATAGCCCATTCGATTCCAATTCCAGACCCCTGTTTCTGTGAACCAAACAGGCCCTCAGTTTATCCAATACAAGTGAAATCATTTGCATTATCACAACAATAACAATAACAATAACAATACAACTAAATCAAAATGCTCATTGTGTCATGGTTTTATCAGTTAACCGGGTGGTGAGCCCATTTAAACCGTGAAAACCGTTATTTAACCGGGACCCAAAAGGTTGTTAGATCACCGGTTCAACCTTCTTGTCCGGTCCTAGTGTTACAACAAAAATCTCAAGTTTCTAGATACAATGATGAATTTTAATTTTCTTAAAATCAAATAGATAAAGATAAGGCCAGAAAACTATCATCCAAGGATTCAACTCCACTCAACATAGTGGAAGAAAGCAAGTAGTCCATGGTCAAGAAAGTCTGCTATGGAACAGTGGTACAGTTAGCCCCATACAGCTATTTTAATACTCTTCAACCTTTATAATAATAAGAAACCCATGAAAAAAAAAGCTGCAATGAAAAGGTAGAAGAAATAATGCTATGGCATTGTTCAATTATCTTCTTCTTTTCTTCCTCTTCCTCGTTTGCAATTGCACAGCAGAGCACTTGGGGGAGTTCTGCAACAAAGACAAGAACATAAGCAGTGACAGCCCGAAATCAGCCAACATTGATCATTTGTTAGCTGATCTGGTGTCAAAGACCTCCTCAAATGGCTTCACTGCTACTTCCTATGGCGTAGGCGAGGATCGAGTCTATGGACTTGCCCAATGCAGGGGGGACGTGAGCAAGAAGGACTGCTCGAGCTGCATCCAAGACGCAGCAAAGCAGATCCGCCAACTCTGTCCAAATCAAGCTGATGCCAGGATATGGTTTGATTATTGTTTCTTGCGGTATGATATTCAGAACTTCATAGGAGAAGTCGATACAGCTTTCGGAATATTCTACTGGAATGTGGAGAATGTAACAGATCCAGAGACATTCGACAAGGATCTTGGAGCTCTAATGGATCAAGTGAGAGAACAAGCTTTGGTGCCTAAAAATGGTGGGTTGGGTAAAGGAAAGACCAAGTTGACACCTTTTGTAACTCTATATGCATTGGTGCAATGCACTAGAGACCTGTCTCAGCTACCATGTGCTCAGTGCTTAGCCATAGCCGTCGGCAACTTCCCGGTGTTCTGCGAGCACCGGAAGGGCTGCCGAGTTCTATACAGTAGTTGTTATGTCCGGTATGAGCTCTATCCCTTCTTTTTCCCTCAAGACTCAAGCAACAGTACTGGTTCATCAGGTAAGTATTTGAGAGCTGTTATGCATCCATGACTACTTAAAGATAGAAAGATACAATCCAGTGATAATGTCCAGTGAGATAATGTATCTGCACATTTTCCTTGAAATAAAGAAGTGGAAAGCAAAATCATGGAGGCCTGGTGGTAAGTAACCATTTGGTTTGAAGCAAGAAAAAAAATATTATTTTCTACTTGTACTTTTGATGGTAGATGCATGACTCTTTTCCTTTTTTTCCTCTTTGTTTTTTTTTTTTTTTTTTGCCTACAAACACAACTGTGGGGTTAACTTCTCATGGATTACTTGCTGCAAATGCATGGACCGGACTGAAAATGAGCTGAGTGAAAAAATTGTAACTTTTGTTTAATATTTTGCATTCTTTTATTTGTTTGGGAGGAGCATGGTTTTCAAAACGGGACCGGAAAAATCGACAACTGGTCAGGTGACAATTTCCTTTTTACCCCAGAATCGTTATTTCATCAAAAACTATTGATATAGTCAGCAAACTGCTGACTCAAGCGGTTGAACCGTTTGAACCATCTAACAGTTTTAACTATTTTTTAATTTTTTATTTTTTGTTAGAATGGGCCATCCATTTGGTTCGAACAATTGGACTGTTCAACCCAGGAACCAGACCCCTGACTGTTGTTGTCCGGTTCAGTTTTAAAAACCTTGGGGAGGAGTAAACGTGGTCTCCAATTTATGTGAGAGAAAATCATTGTGGAAGGAAGGTTGTCTGTTTGAACGAGTCAAGTGTAAAGAAAAATGATGCGGTCCTTACTTTATATGGGAGAGATTGAAGGTAGGAAGAAGGTGGTGTAAAATTTGCATCAGCTTTCAGGATGTCAAATTTGCATTCTAAGTGCTAATAAGTGTTAATAAGTGTACATGTTACAAAAAAAAAAGTGAAACCATTGCATCAGGTAGGGTGCAAATTGTGGATACAAAGAAATGCATGAAAATCTGCACTGAATATAAATTTTGCATCTGTTTTGAATTTGCAATACAAACAAAAGGAGCCTAAACGAATTGCTTCTTGTCTCTTTGAAAATCTACTTTACACATTAACCTTATGGGTCATACTGTCATTTGGACTTTACTTCAAGTTGGGCAGAAATTTGATTCTAGATAAATAATCAGGGCATAACAATGCCCAACTTTAAACCAGAAGAAAAAGTGAGGCCCATATTGAAATCAATTGACTACTGCTCTAATCAATTAACAAGGGCGCTTGGCAACATTTGCAAGAGTGCCCAACATTTTCCATGCGTTGTCTGGGATTTTTCGAACTAGCAAGAATGCTAAATAGAACTTCTAACTTTATTGGTGGTCTAAACAAAGGTTATGTTTCTGACTAAATGTAGTTAATAGCAAAATAACACCTCGAGAGTTTGTTATCAATTTTGCCTAAGATGTTGGATTAGCCCTTGTGTTGTTAAGGGCTAGCAATTTCATCATTATGTATCAGTGTATTGACATTAGGGGTGTCAATTGGATTGGATTTGGTTTAATCTGATCTAGTCCAATATGAGTCGACCAGGTCTAATTCAATCTAATGACTGTTTTGGACCAATTTGGACCGGTCTAGTTCAATGTCTGGACCGTCCAATCTGTTCAAATTCATTTTGATTTAGATTGATTTCAACCTAAACCCGGTCCATTGACACATATATTCTTATGTTATACCAATGGACCAGATATTGGCTTTATCCAACCCAGTCCAATACAAATTTGTTACGGATGAACCAGGTCCAATCCAATCTAATAAATATTTTGGACTGAATTGGTCCAGTTCAATATGTCTTGTTGGTCCATCTAATTCGTCCAAATTGATTTTGGACTGAACAGGATCCAATCCAAAACCGGTCCATTGACACCCTTAATTGACATCATGAGTAAAGAAACTCATCTCATTTCAATTGATTCTTAATTATTTTCAATTTATTAAGTTGACAATCACAAGTCTTCTTTATGGGCCCCGTATGGAAAAAAGATGTTAGGGTTTATTGGACTTAAAAGCTTATTGCTCTATGGGGCTATACAACCCGGGGGTAGGGGTGAAAATTTTCCCATCCTCATCGAGTACCCAACCTCCCTGATCAGGTGGTGATGGAGATGGAGACTACCTTAGTGGGGGGACAGGGTGGGGATGGGATTAATAGGAAACCTGATTGGGGACAGGGGACGGGGAGTGAAGTCCACACCCCACCCTGTCCCCAATTATATATATTAATATATATATATATATATATATATATATATATATTATTTATATTCTCTTGCATCATAGCTATAAGAAAAGTAAATTTAAATTAAGGTAATAAAAGTTAAACTAATGTAATAATTGTTATTTCATTATTATAGAAAACAATAAATGTGTTTATAACTTTGGAAATGATATTTTAATTTATATTAGTAATAAAATGTAAAAGATAAATAATTAATCTTTTATTAATAATTTATATTAATAACTAACATTTATTATTCATTAAAATTAGTAAAATTTTATATATAACAGCAAATTTCCCCGTACTTAGTACGGGGTCATTCGCTAGTTTAATAGACAAATAAGGAATTGTACAAACTAGGGATCCAAACTTGTGTAAATTTTGTGTTAGGGACTCAAGGATCAAGTCTGAACTGTTTAGAGACAGATCCTTGTGTTGGACAATACATGCCCTCATTATCCAGTATATCATGTACATTGTATTTATCATTAACAAAATAGCAGTTTGTGATTTGGTTACTTGTATCACTTGGGTATGTTTTTGTGAAAGTCTTTGTTCTGCATTTTAGGATTAAGACCTAAGACATCTTCTTCTGTGTACAGACCAAATTTGTTCTCAATTAGAATCATGGTTTTTAAAACCGGACCGGATCGGACGGTTGGACCAGAAAAACTGGGAATTGGTCACTTGACCGGTTCCATTTTTTCTCTAAAACCGCTTGCCCAAAAACCCGTTGATTTTGGTCAGCAAACTGCTGAACTGGCCAGTTAATCGTTCGAACAGTTTGAATGGTTCAAATGGTTCAAACGGTTTTGACCGTTTCTCAATTTTTTAAATTTTTTTATTTCTTTTATCAGAATATGCCGACCGTTCGAATCAAACGATCAGACCATTCAAACCGGTAATCTGACCCCTGACCGATTCGATCACCAATTTGTTTTTAAAAATCATGATTAAATTAGACATGGGCAGTATATTCCAATAAGACTGACATACTTTATGTTACCTAAGGAGAAGAGGAGGGATAGTGTAAGTCTCATCTGTTAGGGTTAACATTTGGACTTAGTGATTGGTAAGGAATCTAAATCGTTGCTTATAATTCTTGGACTTACTATTGGCACTGGTTTTTCGGAATTATTTGTTTCAAATATATCTAGTGAGATTCTTATGGAGTCAATAAATTGAGTATATTGGAGCAGTAATGAAGGAGTTCAAGTGAGTGGCTGATGTGAAGGAATCTATTTCGAAATGGTTTTGGAAAATAATATTATTTAGGTAAATAATTTATTTTGAAAATTCAACGTGCATATGAATTTCTGGGATTCTCGTCTTGGAAGAGGACATGTCACTGTCTACAAAGCTTATAGAATAAGTCCTTCCATATTGTAGTGATGGATATTTGTCAAATAGAGAGACTTCACCGCAAGTATTTATTCAGGATTAATAACGTGATAGATATTTTTTTCGGTCTGGGCGAATCAATCTGAGCTTTGAGGATGGCAAAATCCAGATTATATGGTGCTATTAATGGGCTTAAATTAGGCCCTTACAGCTGGGATTGATTGCTCTTAATGGAGTGGAGTTCGCATCGGCGCACGGAACATCCCAATCGCGTGTATTGGGACATGTGTATATCAAACACAGGGATTCACGATTGGGAGATGTTTCCAATACGCGATTGGGATTCACTCACTAGTTTCTCAATGCACGCTGACTGAGATGTGGATGTGAGGCGCCTGTGGGGGTATGCTCTGTGGGGCGCTGATGGGATCTCAATGAAGTGGCGAATTGATTCCATATCGCTGATGTGATCTCAATGAAGTGTCAAATTGATGAGTCCGGATCTCATTTGATTCCATGTGGGTCCACACACTCACGTTGGATTTGACCCAACTATGGTAGAAACCAAAGAGTCTTATTGGTCGGGTGAAGTTGGATTCTAATGGGTTCCACGCATAACCAAAGGAAGTACACTTAGTCAGTTAGTTGTATGGGCAGCAATAGAAGTAGGAAAGGTTGAGTTGGTTATTTAGTAGATAAATAGGTTGACTAAGAAACTATTAATAGCAATTATGGCTGAATTAGGAGAGGGAGAATTCCAGCTCTCTCCTTTCCTACTAGGACTGATTTTAGAGAAAGTTTGGGATTAGAGTTCTAAGAGACCCCAAATAAGTCTGGTCGATTCAGGCATCACCTAGCTTCTTCCTAAGTTTGGCCTAGTGAGAAAATGGAGAGATCTTTGTCCTTCCTTTCGACCCTTCGAACAGTGAATTGATATCAGCCTTTTACCTTCTTTGTGAGTTTATTTTCACACATTGGAAGGTCTTCTTGTTGCTGACTCGCTCAGCAAAGCCTTGGAGGACCAGTTGAAGCAAGCCAAAAGTTGTGCTATCTAAAACGGGCCGCTGAAATTGCATAGGTCTGTTCTTCTCTTTGGGCGTGAACTCCACTAATAGTTTACTACGCTCGTGATAAGCTTCTTCACTGTTAGGCTGCACTCTGGTTTTTCAAAGGTCCGACCGTCCGAGAATATTTTGATACAATGATCATGTCGATCAGATCTGGAAGAAAGAGTTTCTCCAATCTGATTTGCAGTTTATTCTATTCACATTAGAATTCAAAATTTTAAATTGCACATCACAGGCACGCTTCCGCTGCAATACTTTCCAACACCTTAATGCATCTCAAGGGATCCCTTAGGTCTAAAGGTAACTTCGATATTATCATCAGCTATTTAATTTGTTCCACTACCAATAGGGCTGTCAATGGACCAATATTGGTGCAATCCAATCCAGTCCAACATGGGTCCATTATAGATGACCAGGTCCAATCCATTCCGATGAATACTTTGGACCATTTTGGACCAGTCCAAATCAATGTGTCTGGCCTGTCCAATCTGTTCAAATTGGTTTTAATTTAGATTGGTTCCAATCCAAACCTAGTCCATTGACACCTATATTCTTATTTTTTATCAATGGACCAGATATTGGTTCAATTTGACCCAATCCAATATAAATCCACTATGGATGGACCAGATGCAATCCAATCCAATCCAATAAATACTTCGGCCATTAAGTTTGGACTGGTCCAATTCAATGTCTTACTGGTCCATCCAATCCGTCCAAATTGATTTTGATTTTGGCGGTGTCCAACTCAAAACCGGTCTATTGACACCCCTAACTACCAGTGCCACATGGCCAACCCATTGATTTTAAGCAATCTATTTCAATACCCAATATTAACTTGCTAGTGAGAACACAAGTTCACAACACAATGAAAGGACAATCTGTTGGATGATTGTATAAATGAAATATTACATCTGAACATCTATATACATGGATTACTTCCACCTTGAACTAGAGGACAATTATCTCTGAACACAAAGGAAATTTATTATATAACAGTGGACAATATACAATTACTAGAAATGCAATCCTGAAAGTCAACGATTTTGCATTAATCTTTATTTTCCACCCCACGCAAGTTCTAGCAGAGATCTTGATTAGTAGCTTACATTGCCATGACTCCTGGGAAAAGGGATGACATCTCTGATGTCAATGAGACCAGAAGCAAAGAGAACCATATGGTCAAAACTGAGACTGAACCCAGAATGTTTGACAGTTCCGTGCCTGCGAAGATCTAAATACCAATCATACTGCTCTCTTGGAAAATCCAAATCCTTGATCCTGCAAATGGTCACAGATGGTGGTATCAGTAACAGAAGAGCTGGTTAGATATGCTCACATGTAGTCACACGTAGAACAGTAGAAGAACGTGTATATCAAACACAGGATTTTCATCCTTATCAATTGGAAAATACCAACTTCCGCTTTAGGAGAGTTGGTATAGGTCTTGTGTACTTTACAGAGAGACTAGTGAATGAATCCCCTCTTTAGCAAGTGTTTTCAGAGTGGGTTGACACATGTCATAGGATGCAAGTGACCCCCAGCCTCACACACCCGCATCACTACCACCAATAAGTACCATACATAAAAAATCAGTATCAAGGAATAAATTTCATAAACCCATTGCTGAAACATGAAACACCATCAAATTGTCATTGAGCTTTAGCCCCACCCCAGGAGGAAACTAGTAAATTGAATGAAAAGACAACTTACTCACAAAAGATTATATGGATAGAAGACACAAGAGGAGTCCTTGTTATCAGTTGGATTTGTTAATTCCACCAAAATTTTCTCAATATTTTGTTCTGTTAAGCTGTGTTTTGGATTAGGTGGGAAACAGACCAAGACCAGAAAAGGATGACCCACTAATTTCCATGTTCTTCTGTTCAATTACAAAATATGAGCTGCATAGGCTATGGAAAGTAAAGGAGTTTTTCCCACTTTTCCTGTCAAATCGGTAGTTTTATTTGTTTTTTGGTGTGTTGTGTAGCAGGGGGGACTTAGTCATTCTAGTATCCAACAAATACTTGATTTCATTCTGCATTTCCACTTCTGCACCCCAATCCTATCACAACTTGGAAAAATTAGGTTCTGCACCATGAGTGCAGGCACCCAACAATCAGTGTTGTATAAATAGGCTGCAGTTCTAAATGGAACATAAAAGAAATACTGTAAAATCCAAACTTTTTGAGGTGCTATATATTAGCAAGGTTATGTGGCTTGACAGAGGGTCCATTAGCAGAGTACCAAAAAGATAGATGGGATTTTCATAAATTGGATGGTCTAGATTGATGGAAACATGCAAATTCTGGAAATAGGTATTCTATGTAAACATCTTATCACTCTATTTATATTGAATTCATCTTTCCTTTCACTTTCTGAATTATTAAATCTTATTTATCAAATTTAGTTTTATCAAGCCTCCATGACACCATAATGATGGAATTACCTTGCAGTGAGCAGATCAATGCGCTCCTCCTTTTGACTACCTCTAATTAAGGTTCCAACCTACAGAAATTCACCCATAATTATAATTGAACTTAATGTCTATATGGAAATAAATTTTTTTGGGTTAATTTCATAAAGATACTGCAAGCTTACCTTTGGTAGAACTATGTCAACTGTTGCAACTGTTTTCCCATCATCATTGAGGCGAGCATAAAATGGTTTAACTTCTTTTGGAAAATTGTATATGATTACAGGCCTCTTAAAAATCTCATCAGTCAAATAACTGTGATCATTGAAAAAAGCAGTTAAATGCCAGAAGAAGGAATCATATGACATCTCATTATCTCAATGAAGAACCACAAACACAGCCAAATCCACAGTGCCTCAACCCATAAATTACATTATTGGTCCAACAAAATTGGCTATTAAGGAAAAGGTTTTTCTTTTTTTTTTTGTTATTTCTTAATAGATATCACAGCTAATGCAACATGACAGGAAGGGCAAAGGACCTCCTTCCAGAAAGTACTTGCTTAACCAAAGACCTCTCACAGGATGAAGCAGTGTCATTTCCACCCAAGCAAAGGGGGAACTGGCTTAATAAGAACCCCTTTAGGTTGCCTAGCTCAGTCAATTCAATGAACTGATATGTGTGTTCAGAACCAATTAGTTGCACTACCTCCTACCTGCCCTACTCCTTGCTCTTACCCCAGTCCCCATGCCATCATGCTTTATATGCAAAACATCAAATGCTTGAACTGCAGTATAATGCTCAGGATTTTATAAATACCTTTCATGTTCTTCAGTTAGAGAAACACCCCACTCGATTTTTTCTTTAAATTTCCTCTCCGTAACCTTCATCAATAGTTCCACTGCTTCTGTGTAAGTGATCTTTTCAAATGAATTTGATGCCACCAATTTAAGACGATCTGTAACACTTCTGTCTATTCTTTTTTTTACAAATTGCATATCTTCAGAACAGTTTTCTAAAACCCATTGGCATAGGAACTTCAAGTAGTCTTCTGCACATGCCATGACATCCTGGATCCACACAAACAGTATTAATTCAAGTAGAAGCAAGCATAGATATGATGAACATGAGAGGAGGTAACTACTAAGACACTAATATTTTTTAAGATATTTCAGAAGAATTGGCATATGTCCAAAGCAGCATGTTGAGAAGGGCCACATTATAATTGCTGTTATGATTCAACAATAATTTAATGAAATCAACACTTCCTGGGAAAAAATGATTATCCCCCATGTCATCTATTTCTTTTAAGATCACAGCAATCTCAAAGTATACATCATAAAGAGAAAAGAAAACGGAAGAATAATGAGAGCAATATCTGCATTTGAAAGAAAGAAAATTAAAAGAGTAAGGTCGAAAATATCATAAAAAAGTATGAATGAATTGTCTGGCAGCAATCGACATGTACTTTTCCCAAGGACCATGAAGAATAATGTTATTAGTCCAGGAATTGCATTATGACAAGTCAGAAAGGAAATAAAGTCATAAGAAACTTAGTTAACTCAGGGAATTTGCTCATGTTGAGATCAAATTGAACAAAACTACATATAGAACAATCTAGCCTGGTGAACCTTTCGATGATACTAGTCTGAATTTCATCACTGGAATAGCAATCACATAAAAGGATGGTGAGCTGCACATAATCTGAAATAAGGTTAAAGCAATTGGTACATGTAGGTCAAGTGCACACCATTAAACAAAAAACCAATAGAATATAACTATACACAAAGGGAATGAATACTGTGAATTAAATATTTAATCCTTTAAACAACCACCTTCTTTATGCAAACCCATAACAATGTTAAGATATTATTCAAGGAAAAGAGAAATTTTCCCAATAGAAAATATAAACCTGCAAAATATATGCATGATTGCCTAATAAATTAGATTTTATAGACAACAAAATAAATTTCTAGGAAGTCATGAAAAATAATTAACAAAGAGGAGAGCTAACAAAAATGAACATAGATTATTTACCTCTAGGTGAGAGAAAGCCATTTCAAGCTCAACCTCCCACATCTCTGCCAAATGCTTTCTATTCTGTTGTTTTTCTGCTCGAAATCTGGGCCCAAATGTGTAAACACTACCAAGGGAACAGGCATAACTCTCAAGGTGAAGCTGACCAGATACTGTTAAGAATGTTTTGTGAGAGAAGAAATCCTTAGAGAATTCTCTCTTTCCAGACTCAATTGAATTTCTATGGTTCAATTTATCTTTGGCTTCCAATTGTGAGGCTAGTTCATTGGCCTTCTTCAGATCCTCAAGTGCTGCAAACAGTGCCTCTCTATTGCTCTCACTTCTCTTCAGCTCTTCAATTTTTTTACTTTTTTCCATTATAGCAGCCTTAACATTTTCAAGGTTAACAGCTTCGTCATCTTGTGTTGCCTTGGGTGCCAATTTCTGATCTGATTCAATACAATGAGTTGTAACTTGGAACTTCTCACTAAAACCTTCAGCATCAGTAGTAGTGATAACAGGGGTGTGCACATAAAGGAACCCATGATTTTGGAAGAATGTATGAGTTGCATGGGTTAGTGCACTGCGAATTCGAGTAATGGATGCTACCTGCAATATGAGTATGTCATAAATCAATAGAGTAAAAACCAACTTCATACATTGATAACTAAGATAATTCTTCAAATCATCCTAAATGATCATATTTTGGCATTGAGATCTAATAGGAAGTGATTATTAATCTTAAGAAATTTCAGCAAAATCATCATTGAATTGATAAGTAGAAGGAATATTTGCATAGGACACGAAATTTGTTAAAACAATTTTCCCCATCATCAGAAATATTTGTTCTTAGTGGAAAAAATCAGAATGTTTAAAATTACATATAAAATATGCATAAGACTTAATCTTACAAGAACATTTTAACATATTATTGGCATCCACTAGTACTATAGGCAGAAGAAACAAGGACAATTCAATTGTCATTGGATAATCAGATTACCGTGATTGTGCGAGGACGAAGATGGGGATAACCCTGCAGAACTTCCAAAGGTACTTTTGGCTTTGCCAATGGGTATCGTGCAGGATCAACAGTCCCGATGTGTAGGATTTTCTCCACTTTAAGTTCTACTACATGTTTACAGGGAATGGATGGTTGTTCCAGTACACCTTCTGCGACAATTGAAGTTCCTGTAGGTGTTAGATGACTGGGAGAAGCTATAGAGGACTCCACCATCACCTGAAAGAAGTCAATCAAATTCAACAGCAGTATCTAAAATGAAAAAAAAAAAGCAATAAAAATGAAGAGATTAATACATGCACAAAGAGTATAAAAGAATTTATAACTTGGTACAAGTTTTGGCATTTTATATGTTTTCCTAAATGTACTTTGTTGTTTATCTGTAACATTCAATTTCCAGTGGAATGAGCATTGGAAGAGGTCGGATGGTCCATTGGTTGGAACTTGGAAGTTACTAATAAGGCCCATTAATCAGATATAAGACCAAACAGCTAACACTTAAGAATTCATAAATTATCATAAAGTAGACAATAAAAAAACAAATCATGAGTCATGAAACCTACTATTCTTCTATCTATTTCTCTAACCATTTATGCATTATTGTTTGTTCCTAAGATATGGGATTGCTTAATTTAGTATACCTGAAGATTGGGAACACAAGAACCATCATTTACTTGCAAGTAAACAATGGAAGGTTGGGAGGCAGGTTTTGCAGCCAAGATCTCCAACTTCTCCCGAATGGGGGTGTGGCTTGCAGCCAAAATCTTCATGATAGATCGGAAAAGTGGAATTCGTGACTGAAGAATTTCAACACAGCTCACATCTTTCTGCTTTCCTGGAACAATCGCCATGGAATCAGGTTGTTGAGGAAGATCCTTTACTTGCTCCTTGGATGATTTCACCCATCCACCAATCACAACTCGCTCCCCAATCAATTCGGACCCCCGATCACTACGACCCACGATGGATTTCAGAACCACCCTCTCCGAGTACTTCGAAGGGGCAACACGGGGCTCGACGAAAGCACCTTCTTCGGACGCCATTCTTTTTCCTTGAAAAGGGAAACCAAGAGGCTGAATCTTTGGGAGGGATTAAGTAGTTTAAACACAATGGACAAATGAAGAGTTCGATTTGGGAAGAAGGTTTGTGATTGGAAGTGCTTAAATAAGAGAAGATGGGTTTCAAGGAGATGTAGAGAGGGTTAAGGATGCTTTGCTTTGGAAATGCTCTGATGGGTTGAATAGAGAAGAGGTGGCGGTGGGTGTTGGCTGAAGGAAAAGGAAAGGGATTGTTTTGGAGTACGATCATCTCTGCCTGCTCTCAGTGGAGAGAGGGAGACAAAAAAATATAGAGAGAATAGCAGGCGGAAGTGAGACTGAGGGAAGGGTTTGGTATTCTTCGGCTTTGGGCTTTCGCGGGAGTTTAGACTGCCAACGGATTTATTATTTTTTGTAGAGCTGACGCCATCGTGGCTCGGCCGGGCGCCGCATTAAGGGCTGTCATCGGGTCGGGATTAAGCGGAATCGGAATCGACCTGACAAAGTGCAACAAATCCTAAGAACCCGGAAGGACAACCGGGTCTGACACATGATCCGATTATAATAAATCTTTTGAAGATATTATATAAATAATGTTAATTTATTTTCATACGTTTAATATATATGTTAAATTAAAATTATATATAATTTAACATATATATAGCTTGGGTCTGGTCTAAATCTTGTGATGAGGTGGAACTGATTCCAAACCGATAAGATTTGGGACTATATCAAACCGATAGGGGTATTCATGGTCTTATTTGGTGTGGTTTGGAGAATATCTCATATCAAATCAATCTGTTTTATTATGGTTTTCGGACTTTGGACCCTTCTATAATTTACTTAGACCGGTATAGAAAAAAATAACTAAACATGAATAATATAGATGTTAATGTCAATAGGAAAATAACACCATAAACAATAGGGAAATTGTTTAAAACTCAATATGACTTTTCAACATTTCTCTGAAACTCACCACAACTTTTCAAAATGTCTAAAACTCATTATGCCAATAAGTTTTTATTTTCCAAAACTCACCTTCTGTTAGTGCACCATTAATGTTTCTTAACGGAGGTGTCCATGTCAACATAAATAACAATTTTCATGACCAAATTACCCAAGAATGGTGAGTTAGAGGAAACACGGTCTTTTCAGTTTTCAATTTTCTTGTTTTTTTTGCATTTTTAGTGTTTTGTTATAATTTTTTTTTTACATTTTTCTATTTTCTACAATCTATAAATTTTCCTGTATTTTTTTTTATTTATTTACAATTTCTGTTTTTCTATAAATTTTGGTGTTTTTTCTACAATTTTTATTTTCTGATTTTGTTTTTCAATTTCTATAGTTTCTATAATTTGAAAATAATTTTTTATTTTATTTGCAATTTCTATAATTTTTATATTTTTTGTGATTTCTATGTTTTATGTATTTTATATTTGAAAATATTTTTTTTTTAACTTTTTTCCTTTTTTCATGTCTAAATATTAAAATGGTAATATATTAACACCCGTTAATTTATTATGTATATATTTTATATTTTTCTATGAACATTAAAATGGTAATATATTAACACTTGTTAGCCTGCATAATGTCAAGTTAATGACATGGTGAGTTTTAGACATTTTGAAAAGTTGTGATGAGTTTAAGAGAAATGTTGAAAACTCATGATGAGTTTTAGACAATTTATAATGAGTTTGACAAATTTAAAGTTATAAAGTCACAACTTATAAGCATGGAGAATACATATCCAAAAGCATAATAGTGTTTTCTTGAATTCGTAACTCACAAACATGAAGAATACATAAGCATGAGTGTTTTCTTGATCACTGCTAAAGGAAATCTTAGTTCTATGGCTTGGAAAATGAAGGACAAATGTAACAAATATTGGGGGAATGCAGAGTGTCACGGATTGCATTTGTGTTCATTTCAGGAGTTTCTTGAGACAGTACTTGTCCTCTTCATTGTTTATGGAGTCTCACTGGTTTGCGACATCTAATAAAACACAAACTCACAAATTAGATATAAAAAAATAAAAAACACAAACATTTAATAAAGTAAAATTAGAAATTTGAACTTACACTGCAAGATCCACAAACTGAGGGTGACATCGTAATGAAAAGTATAACCCAACACTTTCAAGTTTCAACCTATAAAATGGGAGAAAATATTAAAATAATATCCTATATAAAAGGATAATTAAATAAATGTATATTGGCCAATACATGACATATAATCAATTAAATAAATACAGTAAAAAAATCAAAACATGAATAAAAACATTCTCATTTAAAACATATGATTACATTTTATTGCTAAAAACATGCATATGTATACATATAACTAAAAAATAGAGGTATAAATTAGGTCGTGCTTCCCTCCCCTGGGATAAGTTAGGGGGTTGGTCCGACACAACTCGAGCCCGTGAGGGTCTATGTCGGGTTGCAACTCGTGCTATGGGCCTGAGCCGTGTTGGGCTAGGCTACAGGCCGAGCCTGGGCCTGGGCCGAAAAGGACCAGACTATTTTCTTTTTGATATTTTAATCTTTTTTTATTTTTTTGCTAAGTAAAACTAAAATACTTTGCTTTAGGAATAAATTGAAAAAATAAAAATTCTAGAAAAGAAATGAAAAAATACTTAACAAAAGAAAAAATTGACAACAAATTGGAAAAAAATAGGAATTTTATTTCATTTAAATTTGAAACTTGAACAATACAATGGTAAAAAATACTTGATAAAATGGAATAAAAAATAAAAAAATATAATACAATTACAAATTGAAAATAAAAATTACATTGTTGAAAAAAAATAACAAATAATTTAAATAAAATTGAATAACAAAATTTACAATAATTTTAAAAAATGCTATAGAAAGCTGACTATACAAAAAAAAATATTGTCTTCATCATTTTTCTTCAAGTTCCACCTCCATCTCCATCTTGATTTTGATTATCTACCTTAGGAGAATCATCAAGTGTAGAGTCATGCCCTCCTTTGTCTTGTAATCTATCCTCAACATCTAGCCAATCTTTTAACTAGATACACATTTCCAGATTCACTACAGGAAAAATCGGCTTTAGCAATGGACAAAACCGTTGCAAAAAGATACAAAAAACCATTGCTAAAGGCTATAGCAATGGTTAAGCCACGGTTTTTTGTCGGTAGTGGATATTGGTGTGGCTAAAACCTATAGCCACAGATATTGTACACCGTGGCTATAAATGTACATATAGCCATGGTTTTAACCGTTGCTAATTAAAAATTTTATTGCAACGGATTTATTTTATACCATTGCTATAAATTGCTATAGAAACGGTTTTAGTCGTGGCTATAGAATATGGTTTATTGATGAATAAGTAGAAATAGCAACGGTTTTAGGTAAAACCGTCGCTACAAGTATTAGCTATTCTTTTGTATTGCCATGGTTTTTTGCATTAAAGGTTGCTATAAAATTCTTATAGCAATGGTCAAGGTCAAAAACTGATGTCATAGAATGGTCATTACAAAATATAACTGTTCCTAAAATTGATGCTGTATGGCACTTTTAGCACAACGATTTGATCAAACCGTTGCTAAACGTTTATTTCTCATTTAAATTTTAAAGGAATGCCATTACAAAAAGAATTAATTTCACCTGTTCTTATATGGTAAAACCTGTACAAATTTACACAAAATATCTATAGTATTATTTGTTCAATATACACATTTAATAAATTTTTTTCATCGCCAAAAAAAGAAAACAGAATTAACAAAATTATCCTCGTTGCATCTGAACAATAGGTTATACGCACATGCATCATACTCAAGACCTTCGCTTTGGATCATAACTTCGGTCTGTCAAGTTCAAAAATGAATGCATAAGCATTGATGTAAATAATTAGCTATATAAATTAAATAATGTAAGAGCTTTATATGCATTATACACTTACCATTGATTTAACCCATGTGATATGAGATCCAAGTGCATCTCCAAGAGTTACCCTAGAAAAAAATCCAAGGAAATCAAAATCAAGATGGGGCAACAAAGAAAGCAATTCATGTTGGAGAAGACCCCCTACACTTGCCTTAAAATCTTAACATTCTTCACCTTCTCAAGGGGGCTTGCTAACCCCAAATAAAGCAGAAAAATGCAATTCAGGATTGGAAGTGTGTAAAGAAGCAAGAGAGAAGGCTGGAAATTATCCATAAAATGATTGTTCTTCCTCGTACAAAATTTACACTACATGACCATTGGGAAAATTATCAGATTGAAAAGAAACATAGACATATCCAGTTTCAATGAATAGTGCAACAGATTGGTTCATCATCTTCGCTGATTTAGAAAACAAGTTTTTTTTTTTTTTTAACATCAATAAGAAAACCATGAAAGAGCATTTTAATATTAACAAAGAAGTATCAAAATTATATAGAAATAGCAAAGAATTTTGGGTTAGGTAAGGGGAAGGTTATTCTAAATCAGGTTAATAACTGTCAAATCTGAACCCTTCTACAAAGGATCCAAGAATTGTCATCTCTTTAAAGGTAAGGGGAAGGTTATTCTTTTCTATTCACTACTTTAACAGGTAAGCACACAGTATAGTGCAAGATCAACAGAGTTAAGCCAAAAGTTTGACACATATGACCGATAGGGGTGTTACTGTTTGAGATTGTTTTGATTTTTAGAGGCAGGCATCTCCCAATGTCCTCAATTTAGGTGCAACGTGAAAAATTGGGAGGTGGAAGCCTATTCGCAGTTGTTGAGACTCCTAAGTGGGGTTCATGTCCAACCTTCTATGCCTGACTATAGAACATGAATTAGTATCAAATCTGGTTGACATCTACTCGAGTGTTAGTTTCCTCTTTTTGATGTTTATTTTATATAAGAACCAATAGAAACCAAATTCAGGACTGAACTTGCTTCTAGATGGGCCATGTCCCATGTGTCCAATTCATAATTCATACATGCCTTGGGTCCACCATTTATCATTGGTAACACAATGGTTATCTTATCTACAAATCTTCAACTTTTGACCAAATGGCCCAACAATGCCATGGATCCCTTTCAGAATTAAAGGTTGTTCTATTTAAGAAACTGTTGTGATTGACATCTCATAATGAGTGAGGGTAAAAAAGTATTTATATTCAAATATTTTTTTTTAGTTGAAAAGACAAATTAGGACCTGAATTAGCTAAGGTGACATGTGTAGAGACTCCCAAAATAGCACAGGCTATTTTTAAAAAACAGCCAAAGTGAACTCCCTATTATTGCCTTCACAGTTTCCTTGTGACCTAATCTAAAATGTTAGGGGATAGGGGATGTAGGCCCCTGGTTCCTACCTATTTGTTCTTTATGCCTTAATAAAATGTCTCAACTTTAAAGGAATAAGAGAATATTATCATAGTACATAACCTG